AGGCGGGGTTTCCTAGTTATTTTATTGAGAAATTTAAATAAATTCAGCCGCGGCACAAGCCAAACAGACGCACGTGGGGATTAGTGTGGCAGATCTCTGTTTGTTCCAAAATACCTACACTTAAGTGTTGGACAACGTCAAATCCAGGGATGGAACGAGTGCGCCAGAATTGAATTCGTGTAAAAATCATGTAGAAATGGCATTTGGGCATCACCTACCCTAAAATAATGTAAAAATTTAGGAAAAATGTAAAAATAAATGTAGAAATGTAATAAAAATTAAAAAAAAAAAGGAAATGTTTTTATTGATTATTGACAAAAGCTGACTGATATGAAACGAAAAAATTCGAATTGCTCGCTGACAAAAGCTGACTGATATGAAACACAAAAACTTAATTGCTCGCTGACAAAAGCTGACTGATATGAAACGAAAATGTATTTGCTTGCTGACAAAAGCTGAATGCTATGAAAAAAAATCGAATTTCTCACTGACAAAAGCTGACTGATATGAAACGAAAATTCTAATTGCTCGCTGACAAAAGCTGACTGATATGAAACGCAAAAATTCGAATTGCTCGCTGACAAAAGCTGACTGATATGAAACACAAAAATTTAATTGCTCACTGACAAAAGCTGACTGATATGAAACGTAAAATTCAAATTGCTCGCTGACAAAAGCTGACTGATATGAACACGAGCGCAGCTGACTAACGACACAAAAAATTTAATTGCTCACTGACAAAAGCTGACTGATATGAAACGTAAAATTCGAACTGCTCGCTGACAAAAGCTGACTGATATGAAACGAAAAATTCAAATTGCTCGCTGACAAAAGCTGACTGATATGAAACGCAAAAATTCGAATTGCTCGCTGACAAAAGCTGACTGATATGAAACACAAAAAATTTAATTGCTCGCTGACAAAAGCTGACTGATATGAAAAGAAAAATTCTAAGTGCTCGCTGACAAAAGCTGACTGATATGATATCTGGTATATCAGATTTGATTTTAACGGTTTTCTGCCATTAGAGCGGTGGAAAGTGGAGGCAGAAAATGAGAGAAATTAGATCGAAAAAAGAGAGCAACTAAATACAAAGAGAAACAAGAGAAAAGGGAAATAAAAAAAAACCAGCGACCTTCTGCTGATTTCTGTGCGCCTGGTATCTCAGATTTTAATTTAACGGTTTTCTACCATTTGAGCGGTGGAAAGTGGAGGCAGAAAATCGGAGAAATTAGATCGAAAAGAGAGCGCAACAAAATACAAAGAGAAACAAGAAAAAAAGGGAAATTAAAAAAACCAGCGACCTTCTGCTGATTTCTGTGCGCCTGGTATCTCAGATTTGAATTTAACGGTTTTCTGCCATTTGAGCGGTGGAAAGTGGAGGCAGAAAATGAGAGAAATTAGATCGAAAAAAGAGAGCAACGAAATACAAAGAGAAACAAGAGAAAAAGGGAAATTAAAAAAAAACCAGCGACCTTCTGCTGATTTCTGTGCGCCTGGTATCTCAGATTTGAATTTAACGGTTTTCTGCCATTTGAGCGGTGGAAAGTGGAGGCAGAAAATCGGAGAAATTAGATCGAAAAAAGAGAGCAACGAAATACAAAAAGAAACAAGAGAAAACTATAAATTAAAAAAGCCAGCGACCTTCTGCTGATTTCTGTGCGCCTGGTATCTCACTATCTAGTAATATTAAACTGAATATCAAAATTGACGAATTTCATATCACAAAATATCACGGTATGGCAGCCCGCAGCAACTACGAATTGCACGAGTCTGGCAACGCCACAAAACGACGACAAATTCGTTTTATGCTGTTTTTTTTTTGAACCTTAATATGTAAATAATCTAATATAAAGGACTTCTGAAAACTTGCCAATCTCTTAAAAAATTTATGTATCTATCGGATAAAATTATTTGTTTAGGGCTGAGAGTCCCAGCTAGCTGGTAATATTAAACGGAATATCAATATCGAGGAATATCAACGTCGAATGTATTGAAAAAACAATCGATACTATCGTTATAGCATCGGGCGGAAATAATTATTAAACAACCATTGAAACCTTTTAGGAACTTGTCCATTGTAAAAATTAGATGTCACCAGTTAGTTTGTTTACAAATTTGTCTTCGTATTTTAGAGCAGCCAATCCAAACATATCAAAAGCGCAACAACTGTAGCTCGATACTATCATGATAGTCGCAAAACCATCGATAGTAGCGGCTAGCAGAAAAACATCGATACTATCGATAGTGCCTTCGATGGTTTTACACCTCTACCGGGGCAAACGAAATACGAATGATTTTGTTGAAATTAGCGAGGGCGCCGCTTTATGGAACACTACGAACTCTGAACATGAGCAGCTCTGTGGCCGCCATTGCCTCGGCCACGGATCCGTTGACGGGCCCCAAGTACGAGCGAGAGCCGAATGTGCTGCGCAAGAAGCTGTCATCGGTAGTGCCCGGCACGGTGAGTCTCCAAGTGCTTGGAGCCGGAGCCAACGGCTCCCCCACTGCCGTCTATCTGTTCACGGACCAGTCCCGCTACCTGTTCAACTGCGGCGAAGGCACCCAGCGGCTGGCCCACGAGTACAAGACTCGGCTGTCGCGCCTGGAGCAGATCTTCGTGACGCGCAACACGTGGGCGGCTGTGGGCGGACTGCCTGGCCTGGCCCTAACGATCCAGGATGCCGGTGTGCGCAACGTGGGCCTGCACGGGCCGTCGCATCTCTCGACCATGCTGCAGTCGATGAGACGCTTTGTCATCCTCAAGAATCTTCAAATGCAGACGGTCGACTGCACCGCCGGCAGCTGCTTTGAGGACTCCATTTTGAAAGTGACTTCCCTGCCTCTGGAGAGCGTGGAGGATCCGGAGAAGGTGGTGGTCAACTACATCTGCCAGCTGAAGCCCCGTCCGGGTGCCCTCAACTTGGTCAAGTGTGTGGAGAAGGGCGTCCCGCCGGGTCCGCTTCTGGGGCAGCTAAAGAACGGCCAGGACATCACGCTCCCCGATGGCAAGACAGTTCGCTCCGTGGATGTCACGGAGCCTGGCGAAACGGCGCTCTCCTTTGTGTTCCTGGATGTGCCAAGTGAGCACTACCTTGCTGGACTGCTTTCCCATGCCAAGACCATTAAAGATCTGGGCGAACAGCAGCTCACTGAGGTGGCCTTGGTGGTGCACTTTACTCCGCACGAAATCACCGGCCGTCCGGAATATCAGAGTTTTCTGCGGAACAATTTCTCAGCAGGCACGCAGCATATCTACCTGAGTTCCCCGCACAACCAATTCTCCGGCTATGCGGCCGCCCACCGTATCCAGCATCAGCTGCACCAGCTGGCGCCTCGGATATTTCCGCTCCTTAGGGAGCAGCTGTCCTGCCAGAGTCAGAATCTGAGCCAGAACCTCAAGAAAACCAAGCTGGATGAAGCAGACTCCGACGGCGAGGTTGATGCTAGCTCGGAAACGGAGCAGGGCGTGGTGTCCATGACGAGCTTCCATCTGCGCCCCAAGAAGGGTGAGTACCCCTGCAGATATCCTCCAGATTCCCAACTCACTAAACTCTAAACTAGGACTGGACCAAACCCTGGCCACCAAGCTTACCCCAGAGGAGTACGTCAAGGAGACGCATGCCGTGCCCGGCTTCACGGAGCTGCTGGCCAAGCTGAAGGCTGAATCCCACTTCCCATCAGTATCTACGGCCAGAAGCTATCCAAGAATTATCTTCCTGGGCACGGGCTCCTGCATTCCCAACAAGACGCGCAACGTCAGCTCCATTCTGATCCAAACTGCGGTGGAGGCTTTTATGCTGCTCGACTGCGGAGAGGGCACCTACGGACAGATTGTGCGCCTCTATGGCAGCGCAAAGGCCGCAGAGGTCTTGCGGCAGCTGCAGGCTGTGTACGTGTCTCACCTGCACGCGGATCATCACATTGGATTGATTGGGCTGCTGAGGGAGCGCAGACAGCTGGCGCCGAAGGCTCCGCCGCTACTCCTACTCGCCCCGCGGCAGATCGAGCCATGGCTGCAGTTCTACCACCGCCAGATCGAGGAGATTGAGGATGCGTACACTTTGGTGGGCAACGGAGAGCTCTTGGCGAGTCCCATGACTGGCGAGGCAGTGGAGCCATTGGGCATAACTGCAATTGCCACCTGCCTGGTCAGGCACTGCACCAACTCATTTGGCGTGAGCCTCACCCTGAAGGCGCAACACGATGGCGAACCCGTCAAGATCACCTACAGCGGCGATACCATGCCCTGCCTGGACCTAATCGAGCTGGGGCGCAAATCCACAGTTCTCATTCACGAAGCCACCATGGAGGACGACCTGGAGGAGGAGGCGCGCATCAAGACGCACAGCACCATCTCCCAGGCCATCCAGCAGGGACGCAACATGGAGGCCAAGCACACAATCCTCACGCATTTCTCGCAGCGTTACGCCAAGTGTCCGCGTCTACCCAGCGCGGAGGACATGCAACAGGTGGCCATCGCCTTCGACAACATGCAGGTGACACTGGAGGACCTGCAGGAGTACCACAAGCTCTATCCCGCGCTCCTGGCCATGTATGCGGAGTACACCGAGGAGCTGGAGCAGCGGGCTGTCAAGCGAGAGCTCAAGCAGGAGAGAAAACGAAAGTTGGCCCAAACGTGATCCAGCAGCAAACGGAAGGCGGAAGTATTTACCGAGGTGCTGTTAAACTAATGTTAAGGGAATAGTGCGTGGAACCTCTGTCAAGTGGCCCGAAAGTTAATTTTGTTTTTGGTATAATTCGTTTGGCCTGTTAAATGTCACCCCTAATCAAGAATATATAAATTGTATATACTCTGTATTTGTATAGAATATAGTTTGGATAATGCTCTACAAATAAAGGCAATCAGCACAGCTAACGCAACTACATTGAATCGTATGACTTTTGAAATTGCACCGAAGAAGTTAACGAAATGCAGCAGAGCTGAATAAATCTAATTCAGTGGAAATTACTAAAAACAAGCATTGAAAACGAAAGAATTGCGATGGCAGAGATATATTTCTGTTTCCTGGTACTGGATCCATTTTAATCTCTCTCGTTTCTAGCAGTTGAGAGATTTTCTTTTCAATTTCCAATCAAGTGAGATAACAACACAGTGACCCTTTTAATTCATTTCCTTTTTGGAATAGGTAAAGTAAGGCAATCAAACTGTTCCAGTCTGTTGCAATTACAACATAATCTGGAATAGTTGCCATAGAGCATAGATAATGGATACTCGGATAGTTCTTGGTTGTTTTTTGTTTGTTTGTTTGTTGATTTATTTACTAAATACGCTTGCAACAGTGTCTGTGTAATAAACGCTCGTTTTGTAATGATTAATAAATTAAATCTGTTGAATCGGCTTGAGAATACTCGTATTATGGTCTCACGTTACTCATCGACTGAGTATTTTAACTTAGCTCATTTTGTCACGACTCAACAGAGGCACTTGGTTCATAGCATTTTTCAGCTTTTCTTTCTTTTATTTTTCCATCTTTTATTTAATTTAATTTAACTTCATTTTTAGTCATTAAAATTTCAATTCTAAGGCACTTTTTTAGTTCAACGGTTTCTCCATCATTGTGTATTGGTTTTCTTGGTTTTCTTTTTTTTTTTTGGAAATTAGCTGTGACTAGTTAAAATTAGTAGGTAAACGACAAGGGTATATATTGTATATGTATGCATGTATGATCTTAATTTAGTTCTCTTTGATATCGGGATTGTGGGTGGGGAGGGAGGTGGTGCTGGTGGTGGCAAAGGAGGTGGCGGTGTTTTTGGGGGAAAACTTCTCTGGTTAATATTAATATTGTGTGGTGTGTGTTCGCTTTTCACGAGTATAAATAAACATAATTCCAACATTGATAAAATTAATGCTCTGTTTAAAAATAAATAAATAGTTTTACGTTACGGCAACGCAAGCAGCAGAACGGTAGTATTAGGGGAATAAGAAGAATTCAACAACAACATAAAGTAATCCAGTTAAATCAAATCAGAATTAATCTTATAACTGCCTCTGTGTCCTGTGTCCAGCAGACCTTCCCTGACCGGCCCTGACCTGACCTGCCCTGGCCTGGCCTGGCCGGGTCTGGCATCGGTTATTCCACATTACTCGGTATTAGACTACAAATTCATTAAGATTAGAGGTGAACGATTTTTTTTTGGGTATTTTGGTACTCGTATTCGGGTGTCCCACACCCGACTCAATGGCTCCGCTTCAGGCGCGTTCCACATAGTTGCCGGGGAATGTGCCAAAGCAGCCGGTGCGCTGCGAGGTGCCCACGAACCATCCGTCGTCGCACTTCTCCAGCACATGCACCAGATCCCCCTCCAGCAGCTCCAGTTCATCGGAGTTCTGTGGCCGGTACTTGTACAGTGCGCGATAGCTGAAAGGCAAAGGCAAAGGGCAAATTAGATCAGAACTGGGGAAAAAGCTCAGCCCTGAGGTGCACTCACGCCAGTGGCTCGGAGCTGGTGTCCACGTGGAGTGCGTCCGTCTTGTGCAGCGTTCGCGTCTCCTTCAGGATCCCGTTCACGGGCTGGGCTCCGTTCTGGGTCAGCGTGTTGAACTCATTGTTGATGTTTGTGCGCAGCACATCCAGATTGGGCCGCAGATTCGTGGTGCTCTGGCTGCTGATCACGGTCGTCGTCCTGGCTGCTATATCCTCGGCTCCAATGTCCGTGAGAACCTGCGTGAGAAAGTGGAGTCATATCGTGGGCTATTCACCTCTCTCATAGTGATGACTCACCTCCACATAGGACACTGGGAATATGCCCTTTCTGTTGGCGATCTTTCCCTCGAACCAATTGCCATCCACGCGACGCGTCAGCGTTACCAGCTCTCCCTTGTTGAGAGACAGCTCTACGCCCGACTGGGCCTGGAAGTTGTATTTGGCACGAGCCTGTCCCTCCGACGGGCGCTTGGACGGAGTGCGGGCGCCATCGCGGCTGACAATCTGTGAAACGGAAGAGAAAAGGAGCTTAGACGCCTGCCATCGACTGTTAGCGGAGAGACACGACACCCACCTCCACATAGCTCGCTGGGAGCAGCCCGATCATCGCATTGTGCTCACCCTCATACCAGTTGGGATCGATCTGCCGCCTTATGTAGATGGTGTCGCCCTTGCGGAAGGAGAGCTCTCTGCAAAAGATATGCATTAAAAATAATACTGGATCCATCAGAGTGGTGCAACCTACTTGGAGCTCTGTCCCTGGAAGTTGTAGAGGGCCCGGGCAACGGTTTTGGGACCCACCAGCGACTTGAGCGTCACGTCGGTGGGGAAGTCATCGTAGCGATTGAGGGCGATCGGGGACTTCTGCGAGGGCGTGAAGTTGTCCGTGTGGCGTCGAGAGTTCATGTCCTGCAGCTCCTGTAGATACTTGCGGCGTCGCTCCTCGTGGTACAGCTTCTGCATATGCTCCGCTTGGCGTGTGGCTAGTTCCTCCTCCGGTATGTACTGCTTCTGCTCATGCCTTATCGGTGTCTTGAAGTGAATGTTGACGTCTGTGTCATAATAACGATTGGGAGATTCTGTTGAGATGCGAGATGCGGCAAAACGGATTCAGGCTGTGGCTGAAGCTTCAACTGAGACATTTAACCCAAAGGGCGTTGGTCCACCCATCATAGCCCTGAGCAGTCATTTTTGATGGCTAAAATATCGAAGCTAGCAGCGGCCTACGCTCAGATACAAAAAGCTGTTGACATTTCGATTCATGAGAATGCCCGAGTACCAGATATAAGTATCAGTCCACTAAGTCCTCTACTACGGCATGTTTATTTTAGAAATAGCAAACTGAATCGTAAGACGATCTCACCGCAAATCGTTGTCATGGCTGTCGTTGTCGCTGCTGCTGCTGTTTCTGTTACGAAACCCCTGGCTTATCTGAGTCGCGGCGAGGTTTGTATCTGTCTGCCAATTGGTAAGCAAATAAACAGCCGCCCCACCCCTGCGACCACCCACCCCCCCTCATACAATCTAAGCAGCTGAGAGAGAGGGAGAGAGATAACCCCCCTACCTACAATGGGTGCAGGGGAGACGTGACGTGTCACAATCTCAAATTGAATTAAGCTTCACTTGATATTCCCCCTTGGAAAATGAGCTCAAATTGAAGCTAATGCTCGCAAGCAAAATAATCGTAATCAGTTAATTGGATACAAAATGAAACGGGTCTCGAGCTGGCAAAGGGTGGGGGGGGGCCTCGGACTACGCACACCCATATTAACAGAAACGTTTTAGAGCTGTGCTAAGCCACTTAGCCTCGCGATAAGACTCATCCTCATCAGCATATGAATTGCTCATTCGCATATATGTATAAGTTCTATATGTATGTAAGTGGAAAAGTTCGCATCAGTTCCATTCGATTCAATTGATGCATTAATGGAACTGCGCTGCAACTTGATTAAGATTGAATATCTACTACGCATCCATCCATTGATTGACCCGATTCAAGGAAATCCCCTTGCGTCGGGAGGTGCGGCCTTCTCTTGGGGCTGGGCAGCTGTACAAATGTTTGTGCAACAAATACATACCCCCCCACCCCACCACTCGTAGCAGCAATTAGGAACAGCTTTGTACAGCTCGTACACATACTCGTTTGTTGTGTACGAAGAGACTTGAAAAAGAGATTTAATTGACACTTGAGAGATTTTCACTTTCACTGATTTGTTATGGCGCATTTTTGCCAGCGTTCGAAAGTGTTTGAAAGCGTTGCCGATTTTCATCTTTCACTGGAAGTCCACACACCGACACACACACAAACACACACACACACACCCCATAAGTCGGAGACTTTTCAAGGCTTTTCCCTCCTTTCACGCTCAATTAAGTTTTTAAATGGTTTTTCCGTTGCTTCTCCCCGCTCTTTCGTATTTGTCCATTTGCCGCTTATTAGTCACAATAATCAATGAGAATCAGAACCAGTACGCCGGATCGAAGGCCCGACTACTGAGGGGCAATTGTCTGATAAACCAAAGAAGAACGAATAGCAACAAACACGAGATTCACGCTCCACTAGATCCCCCACTCACCCCCCAACAGAGAAAGGTGTCGGGGGTGTGGGAGCTTCGTACCTACCCAAGATCCCAACTACACCGTAGCACGCGTTGTGCTCAACTGAAACCGAAATCGAAACCGAAACCTAAACTGAATGGGGGGCTCTGACTGACTCAGTGCGGTGGAGGAGGGAGGGAGAGCTTCAGCGCCGACGTCAAAGACTCTTGTCTCTGGGAGAGTGAGAGTAACGTCGGGGCGATATCAACGGTCGCGTACTACGAGTTCCGTTGTACGTTTTGTGACGGCGCCGCCGACCAAAAGTCACGTTTAATTGTTGTTGTGGGGTGTGTGAATCTTTGCGAACACTGACACCAGACAGACCAAAAATGTGGGGCAGGGTCTTTGATTGAATAGGAATGGGAAAGAATAGGCTTGAGAAATTGGAAGGCTCTCCAGCTTGAGTTCATTGTAATGAGGTTTACGAGGACTAGTCAACTTTGATATGATTCTGAAATTTCTCTAACATTAATTCAATGCAAATATTAAGGTTTGTTTCGTCTGTTCCTTTTTATCACTGGATATAAATAAATTTCTTGGCTTATTTTGTATTTCTTCGTGTCTGGGAATTAATTTCGTATGTCTCACATGGAACGAACCACTGTATTTGATCTTGAAGAAAAGCTTTTGCTCACGAAGCTTTTATCGCAGAGTTCGTTCGGAACGTGAGAGCAAGTGCTAGAGCAAGCTCTCCCTCTCTTTGGCTCTCACAATCTCTCTTGCAGTACGTACGAGTGATAACGAGTTTTTTTGATTTTTGCAAAAGAAAAACCGTGAGAAAGTGCAAAAGAGGAAGGTCACTTGCCCGCTTAATCGAATGAGAAAGTGCCAAGAGAGATGGGCGGGGAGAGGGGTCGATTGATCACTTTTCCTTCTTTCACATTGGCTGGAATCTAATAAAATATCAATACTAACTGCCATGCCACTGTTGCTGCTGCTGCTGCTGCTGCTGTTGCTGCTGCTGCCACACGAGCAGAGGAATTGAAGCTCCGATTGCATGTCGATTGGCCAAGTACGCACGTCGCTGGTCCGGCAGAGGGGTGTGCGGCAGACCCACCATGTGATAGGACACCTCTCCCACTCCACCAATGGACGGCTGATGCGGGTGGGGTGGCACCATGGGGGCAGGGCCGGAGTAGTCATAGCCCCTACGATGTATCCAGAGGATTTTCCCGCAATTGGCAATGTCGCAGCTGCTGCCTGACGCCGGATGCCGGACTTTGTTGTTGTTGTTGTTGTTGAGGTTGTTGCATGAGCTGCTGTCTGCCCCACTGCTCTGCGGCCGCTGCCAGGGATTCTGATTGGCTTCGGGGCTGCGCCACCAACTCTGCTGATGGGGCTGATGGGGCTGCTGCGGCTGGGACAGCCTGTCATCTGTCAGCTCTAAATCATTGCAGCTGCGATTCAGCTTCAGGCTGGGATGCGACTGCCGCCAGTGGACACTCCTCCTCACATGGCCGTACCCGTACCCGTACCCGTTGCCATTGGCATTGACGTTGCTGTTGCCGTTGCCGTTGCCAAGGAGATTCTGGCCATGCTGGCTGGAGTAGGTGCTGCTGCGACGCGGCGCCAATGTTTGATGTATCATTGTGGGCACGGACAGGACTCCTCTGACAGTTGCATAATCCGCACCCGTGGAGGCATCTATGCATGCAGTTTAGGCCGGTCCAAAGGCTGAGCGGTGCGCGACTCTCACGTTTTGGCACGGAAAATTGAAACTAACTAACGACCGCGACAGGTATTCCACATCCACTGGCGAGCACACGCGGCGTTTGTTTTGTTGACGGCACTGTCTTGGCCATGGCAACGTGGGTCGTCAGTTGTCGGGCAACCCCAACCCTCCTGCCGGCAAGGTGAGCTTGCGCAGGGTGGTGTCGGTGTTCGTCCCCTGCCCACTTATGTACACACTGTGGGGTGGTTCAGATGCGGTGCTGAGTGCTTGATAAGCAGGTCAGCTCCGTCAGTTTCAGCGTCGCGTCAGCGTCAGCGTCAGCGTGGCCGGCATTTTCATTGGACATATCGATTAATTTGGCCCAACTAATGTCCGGCGCGCCTTCAAAGCGAAATTGCACCAAGTGCGGAAATTCGTTGTCCGTTGTGCGTTCTCTGCTCTCTGCTTTCCGCTCTCCGCTGTTGCGGTAGTAAAAAGCTTTTAGCAAAGGTCATTGATGACAGCACCAACAGCAGCAACAGCAGCAGAGGCGTAGCTGGCGACCTAACAGGGATTTTATTGAGTAGCAGCAAAAGGGAACTCCTTTCAGGTTATTCCTTAACTTAATGTTGGGTCCTTAAACCAGCAAACTTGTCCCACAAGGAATATATTTGAGTACAGCTAAATGCCTCCTGGGAGGGAGGTTTATGGGCGACCCCGTTGCTTCATCACTCACCTGAGCCATCGATAGTGTCTGTGCTGTACGGTAGGTCGTAGGAGGAGGAGCTGTAGAGGCCCTTGATTGGCGGCTGTGGGGGTATGGGGGGCGCGTTCGAGTCGGGATCTGCGCCAACGATTACAGATAACAGATAGAAAGTCAGGGATAGATAATTTCGAATAGTTACAACCAATGGAAGAGAGAGAGAGAGAGCCCTTATGGCAAAAGCAGCAGCTCTACGAGATTAAACGCCAACCGAAGCATAGCGGAGATTAGGAGTTGCCCCCAGTGAGAGTTCCCCGTCCCACACCCACACCCACCCACCCACTGCTCTCGCTGGAAGTTGTTCGTTATTGACCAGTTTAATCACCTTTAAACGTTACCGCCATTGTCTTCTTGAGTCGCTCCAAGGTGGCACCACCAGAGGTCGGGACTGGGCCCGTGCCCCTCCCATCCGGCACATAGCGTGCCTTGGGACGATGCATCCTCGGATCGAACTTCTGATTGGCAAAGATGTCGTCATAGTTGCCGCGCAGGGAGCTGGTCAGCTGGCCGCTGTGTTGGTGACGCGGCGACTTGGGCGGACGCGGCGGCGAGGTGGAGCTGGCGCGCGCAGCCACGCGCTGTGGCTTCTTGGGCAGAACCTTTGGCAGCTTCGGTCGTGGCTGGTCAGTGGGCTGCGGGTGCTTGTGCGCCACCCAATCGGCGCATAGGTGTGGGGAGATGTCGTGCACGTCCCGCAGGTCCGGATGCGACGTGGACAGATAGCTGATGGTCCGCGTTCGGGTCTCGGCGGGATCGGGCGACTCGTAGCGCATGCGCAGCCGCTCGATGTAGTTGCTGCTGCTGCTGAGACTGCGCAGGGGGCTCCGGACCGGCTGCAGCTCCCTTTTGAGGGCCGCCGTCTTGCTGATGACATCGATGTGCGGCATGAGGCGATCCTGGGCGCTGCGCTGGCGCCTGCGGCCGCGTTCAGGCGAGGGCGTGGCCCCGCGCAACTCGAACTTGTGGGTCATCCGACTGACGTCGTCCGCCTGGCTGTTGTTGCCTGGCGGTGATTCCTTCCGCGGCTCCGCCTCCGTAGCGGTGCCCGAGGCGTCTTTGGATCCCGCACTGAATTCGGGATCGCTGCGCGCCTTCCGCAGCGGGCTAAGCCCAAAAAAATCGCTGGTCTGTTCGTTGGACTGCTGCTCCGTCTCCCGGTGGATGCCCTCGAAGCGCTGCCGCATCTTCTGCACCTCCCCGGTGTAGACGCGCTGCAGGTAGGAGCTCGAGCAGGCGGACACCTGCGACTGGGGCGAGAGGCTGCGCGAGCGGTAGTAGGACTGGCTGTCGTACAGCTCAAGGCTGGCGTCTCCTGGCCCGGGCGAACCATTCTCGTAGCTGAGCAGCTCTGCCTCTGCCTCTGCCTGCTCGTCGGGTGGCCGCAGCGGGGGGCTGTGCAAGTGAAAATTTACCCGTGCAGCGGGTCGCTCCCCGTAAACGCCGCTCAGATCCGTCAGCGAGTTGCTCAGCTCCGTGTGGGTCAGCAGCTGACTGTTCCTGGCCTTCTGGCGCGCCTGCATGTTGTGCTCGATGAGGCGCATCACCTCGGCCTCGTCGGGCGAGGAGTCCTCGCGGGCGTGGTAGATGGTCTTGGCCGGCTCCTCGAACTGGCGATCCTCGAAGTACTGTATCTTCTGGTTGATATTCTCTGCTGGCTCCTGCTCCACCTTCGCGGGAGCAGTCTTGGCCTGGCCCTTCACCTCGCTGGGCTTCGGACGGGGCGGCACATCGGGTGCTCTGGTCAGCGTGAGTTCAGCATTCTTGGCCGCAATGGCACCGCGCGTCTCCCTGGCCACCACCACGGGCGACTGACTGCGCGTGGGCCGTGGCAGAGTCTGCTGCTGCTGCTGCTGCTGCTCCTCGCGCTTGCGCAGAACAGGTCCAAGCAGCTGCTCCTTGGAGATGTTCGAGTTGCAGCGCACCTTCAGGGTGTTGGCATGGCAGGAGCCCTGCTTGGAGCCCTTCTCCACGGTGACCACGTACTGCTCCTCGACGGCGGCGCCCTTGCGGTTGCCCCCCGCATAGATCTCGTTCAGCTGCTGGGTGATCTTCTTGATCTGATCCTTGGACAGAGTGCTGACCAGATCGTTGTCCAGGTGACGGTCCATTTCGGTGTCGTCTTTCTGCACGCGCTGCTCCAGGCTGCTGGCCAGATCCGCCACAGTGTTGCGTCGCCATTGGCGCGGCACCGGCTGCAGCTGGCAGTCCTGCTGCAGCTGCTGCTGCTGCTGCCTGAAGAGATTCAGCTGCTCAAAGTTCTCGCGCAGATCCTCCACCGACTTCTTCTTGGTGCTGAGCGATTGGTCCGCCTCCTGACGCCACCTGATCTCGCCCACGTCCTTGGAGCGGAAGTGCAGGTCCCGTTCCCGCTGGTCGTGCTGCAGCTTGCCCACCAGATACTGCAGCTCCTTCTCGGCGCGCTCGTGCAGCCGCACCTTGCGCCACTCGTCGAAGGCCAGCAACTCGGCATCCTTGCGCAAAGGATGGAAGCTGCTCGAGGAGGTGGCCCGCTCCAGCTGGCCCACCCGCTCCAGGGTGCTGTAGAATCGATTCAGATCCGTGAAGCGTTCGCAATTGTTGCGGTAACGGCAGCTGGGGCTGTGCCGCTCCAGATACGTCAGGGATGTGGCACTGTGGGCCAGATCGCCGCACTGGTAGAGGCTTCCCGGTGGCGCGGATCGCTTGCTGCGATCATCGGCGCTGCTCAGACTGCTGGCCCGGGCAATGGCCTGTTCCCTGTCCTGCCGCTGGCTGGATCTCAGGCTGTCGATGCGACGGCGCGAGGGGGAGCGCACCTCCCTCTGGCTTTGGTTCTGGCTCTGAGGCACTCGCACCTCCCGCGTGGGCGAGAAACGGCGCTCCAGCCCGGCTGTGTAGTCCGGCTGTGGCGACTGCGGCCGGGCAATGTCCGTGACTGCCGCCTGGCACGGCTTGGCATGGCGATCGCGATCGCGATCCTTGTTCTCGTACTTCCACACCAGATCCTCGATGCAGCTGCTCGACGGTGCCTGATGCTGTGCGCCGCCCGCATAGTCGTAGACATCCTCCGGCTCCAGGGAGCAGTACTTGTACTCCGGCTGCTGGGGCAGCGACATGGACATGGACATGGAGACGGACTGCTTGGCGTTGTAGTCGTTCCAGAAATGGGTCTTCTCGCGCACCGTGTCGCTGTACGACTGCACGGACACGGGAGGATGCTTCCTTGCTGCCTTGCTGCTGTTGCCGGAGGCGGGTGGTTTTCCCACCTGACGCTTGCGCGGCACATGACCCTCGCTGCGGCTGCTCTGCAGCGGAACCAGCGACTTGGCCTTGGCGGCGGAGGGCTTGGCCTTGCCCACATAGATTTTGGGCGGGGCAATCGGCACGAACTCCTGCCGCACCATCGAGTCGATGGAGAAGGTGGAGTTGCTGCGCGGCAGGCTGTCGTTGGAGCCGGACTTCGCCTGGCTCCTGGGCAGCACCTTCCGCAGGGAGCGTCCGCAGTCGATGAGGGTTTGGGGCCGCACCTGGGGGAAGCACATCGTCTGCCTGGTGGTGGTGCTCACGGTGCTCTGACGCAGTCTGGGCAGGGACTTGCTGCGCGTGTGCTGCGCCTTGCAGGTGGCGTAGGAGCGCACCGCCTCGCGCACCTCCTGGGGCGACTTGAGGAAGGGGTCCCGCAGGATGTTGGTGCTGGCCTCAAAGTTGGTCCGGCTGGGCGGCAGCGTGTTCTCCAGCCGCTTCTTCTCCTCGGCAAAGCTGCGCTCCTTGGAGATGCTCCGGCCAAAGGCCACCGGACTGCGACTCGATTGGCGCAGGGCCAGGACACGGACCGGACGGCGGCTGGGACTCACGGAACGGAGACGGGACTGCTGCTGCACCCGGGTGACGCGACAGGCGCCGCCATCCTTGTGGCGCGTCTCCTTGGTGGCCGTGAGGGTGGCCAGCAGGGTGGAGACGGCGCCCGCGCTCTTGGACCGAGAGATGGGTTCGCGTCGCGTGCTGCTCGCGGAGGAGGCGACCTTCCGCAGGGTGATGGTTCCTCCGCCCGGCGGCTGGAAACACTGCTCGTGGCGGGACTTGGTGCAGCTCGAGACACGCACCGTGCTCTTGGTGCAGGAGGACTTGCGATTGGGTGGCATCGGGGCAGGCGCTTGGTCCTGCTGCAGCTGCTGCTTCTTGCTCAGCGGAATGAACGAGGGCAGGTTCTTGGACAGCTGCGAGAACATCTTGGGTGGGCTTGTGGCTGGCGCTGGCGGTGGTGGCGGTGGAGGAGGCGGTGGAGGTGGTGGCTGTGTTATCACTGGACTGGGCGCTGTGGGCTCGTCCTCCTGCAGCTCCTTGGTGCTCACTCGTATCTTGGTGAGGGTCGGAGTGATCTGTATGAATTCGAATTCCTCCACAATTTCTTGGGGGTTGAGAGGGAGGGATGGACTTGGATTAGGCGGCGGCTGCTGTTGGCTGTTGTTGTTGGTGCCAGTGCCTGTTGGTGGGTGCTGTTTTCGTTTTCTTTTCTGGTGGTTCAACTGGTGCCTACGACATCCTTGGCCCTCTTTGAGGACAGAACGAACGAACAACTTCGAGTGAGAGCAGTGTGTGTGTGTGTGGTGTGTGTGTGTGAGTAGTAGAGTGACCGATAGACCCGATAGAACCAACACCATTTGGATTACAATTAGTCAGTGGATTAGGCCAGCGTCTTATTTGATTATGTTAGGGTTTTAGAGATTATCAAAAGAAAGAGAGAGATCGACTCACCTCTGGGCCGCTCGGGCGCTGGCTTACGGAAGCCGAATAGGGGCGGTTGTCCGCCTGCCTGTAGACTCTTGTAGGCCTGCCGCTGCTCCACGGGACTGAGGGGACTGCTGACGGGCAGCTCCTTCTTGCGGAAGACTAGGTTCGAGTCGCTGGTGTAGCCGGATTCCTTGGCCAGAGCTCTGCAACGTACGCGGAGGAGGTGAGTCAGAGGAGATGCTTAGACCCCCAGGCTTGGGCAAATCTTTGTCTTACCTGGACAAGTTTCCTTCTGTGTAGAGCGGAGATAGTTTCGATTGTTCTAGATTCTGTTGTGGGGAGAGAGAAAACAGCATGTAGTACGTATAGATTGTATGTTCAAGTATATTCAGAGTGCATTTGTTGATTTATTGATTTTAATTTGGTTTTTATTTTGCTGGTATTAGTTCTGGTGCCTTGGCGATGATCCTGCCTCGCCCTCTCTCTATGGACACTTACTCCAAAGCCATCGAAATCATCGACAAACTCTATTACAATGCGCGGTATGCGCGTGTGCTCCCTATGCCACTTTTCGCATGGTATCGCATGGATCGTATCGGAGGAGGGAGACAGTAGAGATACAGAGTAAGCAGAGATTTCGGGGAACGGTTAAACAACGGAAAACAATCGGAAACTAAAAGCTAAGAACTGAAACTGAAGATCATAACTAGGAATACAAATACATATAGTAGAGTAGAGTAGAGTAGAGTAGAGTGCCATGCCATACCCCGTTAAAGATGTCCATCACTTCGTCCCACCACTAGAATTGTGAATAGAATACATAATTGCCGTGAGTTAGAATATTGAGGCGATCCGAGTGACTTTAATGGGTGTATGAGTGCATGAGAATGAGAAGTTGGGTTGTTGGGTATGTCAGGTATTATTATGGCAGTGAATGTCAGAGTGCAATGGTCGAGGATTAGGACACTCGGTGTACAGTGGGTTAAACGGATTAAATGACTGTGAGCTGAGCCCCCAAATTGGTAAGCCGTGCTTGGGGGCACTTACCTCCTTCTTCTCCTTTTCGGACACTGACGAATGTCCTGTGGTGTAGTTCTCGATGCGGCCGGGCTGATTTTTGTACGAATTCTGAGCCGACTTGATGGGATTTGGCATAGTACCATACAACCTGAAAGCAGAGTAAACAAACACTTTTTGAGTCCAGTCCTCTTCAGTGGCATACACAAGACACTGCTGGTGACCTACTTCTCGTCCTGGCTCAGGTTTCGCACATTGACGGCCGAGGAGACGGACTGCACGCGATGCGGATTCTGTGTGCGGTACCTCACCGTGGAGTAGTCGGAGTCGTAGTTGGGTTCGGGCTCTGACACGTAACCGTTGCTCTTGTACGACGGACGGGCTGCGTGGGTAGGGGAGAGACACGAAACACATTAATCGGGGTCACCAACGATCGATGGGAGGATGCTTGCTACAAATGCGATTAATATGCTCGTACATTGCTTGGATGGTGTACTGGCGGCGGCGGGGGACATGATGTTAGGCTAGCGTTTGCTTGTGGTCTGTGCTGTGGTTGGTTGGGTGTGTGAGTTAGGCCTTAGACTAGGTTGGGTTAGTCGTGAAATTTAGTACATAAATATGCGAGTATATGTAAGCTTCCCATACAATGAGCCAGTGAGCTGGAAGTCAAATAAATAAGCCAAATAATAATAATACAGCATGCACGGGATGAAGCTCTTTGCTGCGAGGCGGCACCAAAGCCTTGGGCTTTTGGTCTACAAGCAAAGCGGAGGAGGGCTAATAGGCTACTAGGCTACTACTTAGGGCAGAAATTTGGTATAGTTTAAAGATCAAAGAATCACCTCTGGGACACTTGTAGCGTATCACGAAATCGTCTGAGGCAAAGCGAATGGGCAGAATGAGATATTGTGAAGAGACAGACCAAAGAGTAGAAATCATAGATCGGACTGAAGCATTATGCAGAGGGATTGGTGGATTCGGAATGGGATGTTGGATGGGGGTAGGATGGGGGGGGTTCACAATGCTTCAGACCGAAATGAGTGAGAGGGAGAGAGAGAGAGAGAGAGAGAGAGACATTTACCGCCATTCTTCTGCTTGTGTATGGTCTGATAGAGTCGCTTGTACCACTCATGCTGATGCGGCTCCTGGACCTCCTGCATTTTGGGGTGGGATAAGGGGAACAGTTGCATATCACAATTCACATCGAAAGCCCACATCAAGTGGCAATCCCTCCCTTGGCCCCCTTTGTATGTCCATTACCGATCTGAGTATGATGGGCATTCCATCGTTGGTCACCGGACCGATCCCATCGTACTGCCTCCGACCTAACTGTGCCATTTTGCGCGGACGATCGTTCTCCGTCTCCGGTTCGCTCATATACTCGTGCTTGACTTTGTAGACTGTAGAAACCGCAGATTAATTTCAGTGGTTAGTGATTGCTTCTTTTGTGGGTAAGTATGTGACCAGGTTTAGGTTTGGTTTGGGTTTGGGTTGGGGTTGGGGTTGCGGGTGGACACACGGGTGTACATATAAGTCAGTGTTGTGCATCGACGTGAGCCTGAGTGTCTGAGTGTGTGTGTGTGATCCCTTTGGTCATTTCGCCAACACTCTGAGCTCTGGCTCTATACGCTTGGGTTGGGTCACGGGTCATGGATACTTACTGACTTCATTGGGCCTATAGGCTGGGCGGCTAGTGTCCGACAGCTGGCGGCGCACGAACGGCCTCTGCAGCTCCGAGCTGGAAGCTGAGCGTTCGAAGGCTTTTGGGGGGCGATAAACGAGAACCGAAACGAGATTAGCAAGGCAGAACGAGAGAAAGGGACACAAGGAGAGAAATACACAGAGAGACAGAGACAAGAGACAAAGAGAAAGAGAAAGGACTAGCACTGTGTGTCTGTGTGGGTGGAAAGTACTACTTCTGATCTTGTCCGAGACGCTGGCAGAAGGCGCCACTGGGCCAAACTGCGCGGAGCAATCCGTTTCGGTGTAGTCGGAGTGGGGGTCTCCGTTTGTGTGCGACCAGGGTGTTGTCGTCTGCTGCTGTTGCTCCTGCTGCTGCGGCTGCTGCTGCTGCTGCTGCTGGAGGGCCGTGTAGCGTCGTGGCAGGGTGGGCGACTCGAAGTGCACCGGACGGAACTCCTTGCGACCGCTCAACGAGGGCGACGGCTGCGGCGTCCACACGGGCTGCGTGGGTGGCGGCGGGGGCGTGGGCGCTGCCGATGAGCTGTGGTTCAGATCGCTGGCAGAACCGTATGGTGTCCACACGCCTGTTGAAATTTTCGAATGGTTGAGCGTGGGCGTTTGGAGCACAGGTGGGGGGGCGGTAGGGTACGTGGCAACATGACATCTTCAGGGGCGCCGGATATCGAGAGTGTTCAGAGATTGAGTTTCCCTCCCCCGGAGATTTACACTTGTCAGCAAGTTCATGCTCGCAATCTGTGGTTTCCCCTCCCTCCTATACCTTCACTTCTTTTCTTTCTCTCGAAAATAGTTTAGTTGCGGCAGTCAACAAACCGAGCGAAGACAAATTGACAAACAAACATAGCGACGTGGAACAGCAATAATTAATACGACGGACGGCGACCAAGGAAGCCGCCATTTGGCAGCCATTCAAAATTCGCCCCACACACACACAGTCTCGCACCGTTCACATGCACACACACACACACATACATTTGGATGGGTGGAGGGAGGCGCTGTAAAGGCGCTGCTGATGAGTCACAGCATTTGGCGCATGTTTAGCATTCACACAATCAACACACAAATAGATATTCACGTATTCACGTATGTATATTCTCCTGCCATTAAAGAACGGCGCGAGGTGTGCTCCAAGTGTTTGCTGGCCCACAGCGAACCCTCCCGGCTAAATACACGAAAAAATCAACGAAGAAGATCGCCCTAAATATAAGCAAAAACCCTTCGAAGCTTCTCTAATTTCTCCAATATATATCCAGTGAAAAATGGCAGACCAAAAAGCTCTAGAGACATCTCTGACGAAATCACATTCATATTTTCCTTATTTAGATCATGGGTATATGTTTCTACGATTCGATTTACATTCTACATTCTCAATCAGGAAACAAAACATTAAGAAACACAAAAAGAAAAACGAACGAGCTATTCATCAAAAACTTCGATTAGTTTGAAATATCTGCGTTGATTTTTAGTCCTGATTTATAGTTGTTTTAGATCGCTACCAAAGGTGGATAATTTTAAAGAGTTGGCAGGAAATTTGCCAATCAATTTGAAATGTTCCTGAAGTTCCTCGATTACTGGCGAAGCAACCCACAGCTGCGTCTGTGCTGTGCAGCCTTTGCATTGGGTCTAGCCAAAATCTTTCATTCTACAGATTTATTTGCCACCTGTAAAAAAACCAAAACCCACAGATACAGTGATACACCGATACAGATGCCTCATACATACATATGTATGCATGATGCTGATGGCTGCCCTAGGCGGCGCATTGCCTTCGAGACATTGACACGTATTTCACAGAGGAGGAGGAGGAGGCGGCATCGATGCTGCCTCTAAATTTGTTGGCCGTTTTCGTAGCTGCTGGGTCTGTTCGGGGTCGGAGGTATGGGGTTGGGGTTGGGTGTGTGGGTGTGCTGACGTCTTTATTCAATCAGCACTTAATTGAATTATACAATCGAATCAAAAAGGAAACTTCTCCTCGCAAATGTCAATCAAATTCACACAAACACACACACACACACACAGAGAGAGAAATCCTCTTTGGTCACTTCTTGAGTCCAACCCGTTTTGTGGTTGTCAGTCGGATTAAGATTTGGATTTGATGGATTTACCTAGCTGAAGCACAGGATGGATCACTGATAGTCACAAAAATGCACGCAGATACGAAAATACGCAGATACGGATTTAGGGAGCGATGTCGCTGATTGAGTTGCTGACTCCGCGCACGGCTCGAGGCGAACTGAATTTTGCGTGACCCGGCAGCACCGAGCAGAGCGCGCCAGCATGGCCCAAATGGGGAATGTAATGGGATTGGGATTGGGAATGAGAATGAAGACAAAAGGCCAAAATCAGCGAGCGAGCCCAGGCAAACAAAACACACCCAGTTCGGTGGGGCAGTCGCTACTCGGCTGCTTCTCGGCGTACCCAGTACCCAGCTCCCAGCACCCAGTAGAAGATCAATTACTCGAATTGTGGGAGCAGTTCGGTGCTCGATCAAGCGCGGACAGGGGAGACCCAGACTTGGGCGCCAATTATGCGTGCAATGCGAAATGGAACGGAAATGTGTGTGCCGTACACTGCGGCGGCGTACACTGAACCAAGCGACAAAAGGTTCCCCGGAATTATTTCATTGCGTTTCATTGGTTTTTTTTTGTGTTGCTGGCCAAAGAAAAAACAAAACAAAACAACTGTGCAGCAAAGCCAGACCAAAAACAAAAAGGCTCAAAAACAAAAGACACAAAGACAATTGTCATTGCAAGCGAGTCTCGAGCTGGGCTTGGATTCGATTGGTTTGGTTTTGGCGGGGCACTTCCGGTGGCCGGCCACTGCTGTTGCTGCTGCTGTTGCTGCTGCTTTAGAATCAAATCAAACGGAAAATTCGCTTGGAAAAAATGTTAATAAAGGCACTTGAGTGCGATAGAGCGGCACACCCTCAAGGAGCGCCCGCAGTCGAGCAGAAGTCGCATTTCGAATATCGTTGTTGGAGGCAATTCATTTGAAATTTATCGATTTGCAAACAAGAAAGATTCTGAAACGAAACGGGCACAGCGGCGACAACAACAACAACAACAACAATAGGGGGGTAGGGGGGGACTGGGACCTGCACTAGGGAAACCATTTAATTCTCACTTTGGTTCATTTTCAAAGTATTCTCCACATACCGGAACCCAACCCGCGTTGGCCTTGTGAAAATCCAGCAAAACAAAAAGGGTGGAGGGTCGGGGGAGGCGCGGGACAGATATAGATAGATGCCTGCCTCTCTGCAACCTGTCACTGAATCTGAATGGCAACGGGAGTTGGGAGTTCCACTCGGAACTGCTATCGAGTCGGAGACCTGTCCCTGGGCTTGGGCCTGGGACTGCCACTGGAACTGGGAATGGGAATGGGTGCGGCTGCCTCTGGCAAATTGGGAGCATTTCCTGAGTTGATTTATGTGGAATGCATGGACAGAACGCAACCGTCTGTGGATTGGGGCTGGCAGTGGAAGTGGAAGTGGGACTGCTATTGGGGACTCCCGAGTTTGGGTTATTTATGGAGTGGATATTTGTGGCTTTGCTAATTGAACGGGGAACTACTTCAGAATGGAATCAAAAAGGGGGCCGGGGAACAGACTTTATCGATCATCTAAATTATTATAAAAAAAATTGGAGAGTAGCCGCAAACTTCGTTTGATTAAGCAACAAAGAGAGCGTCACAAATATGAAGCTAGAATAATTTAAAAGAACTCTGGGATCGTAAGATACTGATCTTGTATATTTCTGTACAAGTGTGGGTTAATTTTAATTTTTTTTATTATTTTTCCATCTTTTTTTTAACAATATTCAGTCGAATTCTTCTTGCCACATTCTTAAATTAATCAACCAGCGGGCGTAGCCCCATCTTCCTCTCCTTGCACAATTATGTTTGACATTAAGCCACCTGTATCTATTGTGGTTTTATCTATTTCCATCATCAGAGCACTTTGGCAATCTCAATCAAATGTATAATCCCCGTTTTAACCATGACAACGTCATCAACCAAAATTGATTTGCCCATTCCATCCCCGTCCCATCCCCATCCCCGTCCCGTTCCCGTCACTGATTCGCTTCCAACCGATAGGCGGGCGGATACGCGAACTTTTCGTTCAAGTTCAACTGAATTTATACCAAAAACAAAAAACTATAAATTATTTTCACTCACTAAAAGTCTTTGAATTTATACTTTTCCATTCTTTGGCATAGCCAACAACAACAACAAAATATAAATATCATAAAAAATAAAACCAGCGAGGAGAGAATGTTAAAAATAACAAAATACTCGTACAGATTAATGCTTTAAATAAATACAATATGTGTATGGGATGTTCTACCAATTTCCATGGCCCATACCGGCCATATAGCATAAATAGAGTCCGTTCCGGAGCTACATATCATCAGATGCCATCAGATGACGCCAATCGAGAAACGATGGATTTTTGATGGATTTGTGTACGCCCCCGTAGAGCCTTATGGGGGGATGATGATGATAATGGTTGGAAAACCCAAGGCAAACAAATCCGAATTGGGCGGAAAAACACACAAGAAAAAACATCACATGGAATGGAATGGAATGAAATGGTCAGGGCGACATGGCAGAGTATCCAAGTATCTCTGGGCAGTGTTCGTGTTGGTTCTATTCAGCGTGAACTTTTATTGGAGACTGTAAAAGGCGGAATCCGCGTGGGCGGCGGCTAACAAGAACAACAATTGAGAACATTGCAAATATTGTAATAAATATTTGTTTCGTATTTTCTCTGCTCTGCGGGATTTTACGTCATTTCGTATATTTAGCGCATGGCGCACCTCCAGCGGTCCCACTCCCACTCCCCCTCCCCCCCCTAGGCCCATCGGCTTTTCCAGCTTGGATTTTCCAAATTGCTCGCCTAAATCATGTGGAAATTTTGGTGTGCGCACAATTAACATGAACTAATGTGAAATATTTAAAATAAACAATCCGAAACGGACAACAGCCAAACAGCCAACGTGAGCGAAATCAAGTTCAGAAAAAGCCAAACAGAATAGAAGAATCTTCATTAAGTAATCTATAAATAAGGGCGATAAATCGAGAGATGAAAAGTTGATTGGGAAACGATGGATATTCGCGGCAATGTGCTCAAACATTTCAAAGATTGAAATTTCCATTCACAGCCGGAGTAGACTCGTCGTTGAATCATCAAAGAAAACACAGCCAGCCAGCCAAATGAAAAAAAACCCACTGAAAACGTCATGTTTGCCATTTGTCGATCGTTGCAGACGGTGGTGCATCCGCCAGATACCAGCTGCTGCTGCTGCAGCCATTTACCTGAGCCTGAAGGCGCGCGTGCCTTGAATTTTGGTGCGAACATCGCCGTGCCTGTGCTCTGTGTGTGCTCTGCAAAAGTCGGTGGGCAGAGAGGGCAAAATATTTGGTTGGGGGGATTTAGATACGAATTTTGTTTGGGGGTCGAAACTTCACTCAGTTCAGTTCACTTCACTTGGAGGCCTCTGCTTTGAATCACTTGCGTTTCCGCCGATGTGGCTGGCCAAGTGGCAGCAGCAGCGGGGGGGAAGACACGAAAAGAACACACAAACAAATTTGAATACAAAACGCTCGACTAACCCTGCCCCATTTCTTTTGCTGTGGAAATATAGAAGCGACTTCTGATTTCTGATTTCTGACTTCAGACTATATTTCTATTTTTTCTATTTTCCTTTTCTTGATTTTTCGAACGCGCCTTCGCGTTGCTCACACGACTTTAACACGACGACGACTACGAAACAGTTTTCATTTTCAGGCAGGTTGTTCGTTTCGTTCGTTTCGTTTTTCAAAAACGTATTCAGAACGGCCCGCCCCAAAAAAAAGCCCAGCCGAAAAACAAAAAATAATCTCAATTTGTGTGCGAGCGCAACACAACAAATTTGTTGAACGAAAGTTCTCAGTTCTCAGTTCTCGCGTCTGGCGTCTCAGATCTCAGATGAAAAATATAATTCTTATTTCCTTCGCCCCAGTACGAAGTAGTATAAACAACCTTTTTTATTTTGGATGCTTTCGTAAACAGAGACCGGAGAGGGAGACCCTGAATGAGGGATCGTTTGGAGAGCGAGGAAGAGGAGCTCTTTGACTCAAGTGGGTCATAAATTATGAACAGAATACAGCCAAAAGAAAAATGCATACATACAAATGTACATATGTATGTGTAGAGTTGAGTGTGGGAAATGACCAGAGGTTCGGTGCTCACGTCGTATACGCAATTTGATGAGAATTTCCTGAAAACCAAGAGCAAACTTCGCTGCATACTTTCAGGCGGATGCGCGAAATTCACTCGACACGAAAATTGAAAATGGAAAACTAAAATTAAACTCAATTTAGTTGTAATTATACCGAAAATGGGGTTAGAGACACTCAACAAGCAGCTGCACAGATTAGTGGGTGTGGGGCGGTTCATTACATTTAGGGGGCCATGGGTGGGGGGTGGTATCTTTGGTATCGGGTTCGGGATACGGGGTTCGGGGTCTGTTCTGACACACCATTCGCGTAGAGGAAGCCCTTGGCCAGCTGCAGTTCGCTGTCGATCTCCTTGAGCAGATCGCTCTCGGACCAGCTGCGTCGTTGCCTCTGACGCTGCAGCTGCTGCGGGTTGAGTAGGAAGCGCGTCTGCTTGGGCGGTCGTGGTCGCAGCCTTACACTCATGGCCGGTGCAGTCTCTGTGGCGGATACTGCTGTGTCTGTGTCTGTGGCTGCTGTTGCTCCTCTGTCTAAATGAGAGCATTCGGTTAGATTTCGGCATTCCCTCTCTTTCTCGTCCGCAGTCGTCGCTTCTGTCTGTTGTCTCTGTCTCTCCGCTCAATTGCCCCCGATTCCGTAATTCTTCTTTGAACAAACGAACCGTCTGTCGGCTCGGGTCGGTGTCGGACTGCACTTTGTTTCCATGCAATTGAATGGAATTAATTTAAAATTTCCGCTTAATCGCGATTCAGCTCTTCTATCTTTTCCTCTGTCTTCTCTTGCAAATTCTCGATTGTAATTCTTGGGTGGCAGATAGAAGCCTCTGAGTGGGGCGGGGAATGATGGTATGAAGAGCGATGTATATCGCACGAGTAGCTAAAGGGTTAAGCCGATTTCAGCCCTAAGACATTTGAGCGCAGAGTCTGAGCAGATTAAGCAAAGCTTTTCATTTACAAGGCAATCTAAATTATTCACTTAATTTAGGCTTAAATCTAAACACGTATTTATTAATGGGTATTTTGGTTAAGGAGCTATAGGTCATAGGTAGCGTATACGTGGATGAGCAGAAAATAAATAGAAAAAAATACATATTATTAGAACACTTCAGATTTTAGGTCATCTATTGAATTGAATCGATATGGGAGTCATGGAATAGGTTCCTTGAAAAGACCAATCAATTGACTTGATTTTGCTTTGCTTGTCGATTGAATTTTGTCATTTATCGAATCATTCCCGTTGCCAAATGGAATTAAATTGAATGATCGAATGAAAGGATAACTGAATTAGCTCGAAATCTGCTTTCAAGCATTAAATGAAGATAAATTGATTTATTTGTGATATAATTCTGCCAAAAAAATGACGGATCTGCAATCCAGCTGGAGTATGGCCATTGTTAGGTTAGGGTTCGAAACGCACTGTATGCATCAACATGTGCATAGGTACATTGTTCGACAGTGTTTTTGTATTTTATAACTCGCCAATTTAAGGTTAAAGAGTTGAGTATTTAAAGAGAAATAAATACAATGTATGCCCTTTTATTTGATGTAGGCAAGAAATCAATATATATATCAAACCAAAATTGAAGTTTTCTACCATATTTAATGGGTAGGCCTAAAACTTAACTTTTTTCTCTTGTAAAATAAACCTTAAAGTTTTAATTTTGTGGCACTATGTTACGTGGTATGGGGTCTAGTCTGATCTGTACACTACATTTACAAAGAACACATATCGGGATTAGTTTGGTTTCAAGCAAATCATCTCCTCTCTCTTCGGACACATCACACAATACAGCTAAATGGAATCGCATGCGGAATGGAATGCAGCAAAATGCAACAAATAACAATACAAATCTGTTGGTTAATCGAATAGTTTTTCGTTTATTAAACATTAAACAACACTAAATATAAATTTTTTTTTTTTTTTTATTACTTTTTCAATGTCAAACATTTAACAAGAGTTTCTCACAAAACAATATTTTGCATAAATTTTCACCTAATTTAGGAGCTGAGTTTTGAGTGGGGGAAGGCTGCGGGGGAAGGCTGCATGCAGCTGCGTGTAAGAGTGGGAGAGGGGTAGTCATGGGGAGGGGGGGTTTAAAGCATTCGGATTGTGGTTCTGCTGCCGGTTCAAAGGGTTGGGTTGGGTTCGCGATTCGTTCTCTAGAAGCTGTTCGATGCCGAATTCGACTCAAAGTTGCGCCAGTACTTGTCGAACTCATCGAAGATCTGGGTACGGAAGGGCGACCCGGCGAATAGCTCCTTCAGGCCGCCATTAAAAATGCTCGGAAGGGGTGACCGCAAGCCTGTCGAAGAGCTGCTTTCGTGGGTGGAGGTGGAGTTCTTGTTGCAGGTGGATTCGGATTCTGTTGCACCGTCTGTGTGGAGGAGTAGAGTAGGAGGATGGCGCACACAATGAACAATCGAGAGAGAGAGAGAGATAGAGATAGAGAGAGATAAATACAACAGAGAGAGAGAGGGGAGGGAGACAGACATAGAGTGTATCTACAGTATGTAAAGTGTGTGTGAGGGAGATGGCCGTACACCAGTGAGTGGGAGTGGGAGGGGGAGAGGGGAGAATGGAGCTCTGGCACTTAGCTAAACTTATTCCAGGCCGTCAGCAGGGACAGACCCACAAGGAGGGCAGTGCCCAGAATGGTGGATGCGGCTGAAGAGGTGGCTTCCGCCTGACGGGTGCTTGTGGGTGGAGATGGCAATGGAGAGGGCGATGCAGATGGAGTGTGGATGGGGGATTGGGACGAACGGGAACCTTTGATGATGGGGGATTGGGACGGACGGGAACCACAACCACGACTAGCAGGGTCTGTTTCGGGCGATGAGCGGGCACTAGTTACGGAAGCGGTTAGTCCAGTTAGTCCAATGGGAATATTACGACTAACGAGCCTCGCCGTCTGCGAGCGATTGCGATAACGATAACGATTATTGGGCGACGTCCCAGCTCCAGCTCCACCGGAGGTGGAGGATAACTCACCCTGCACGGAAGGCGGCAGACGCGACACCTTGTACGTCTTCACGATGCTGGTCTTCTGGCTGGCGGTGCTGTGCGAGTGGTCCGTGGCCTCCTCGCGCCGCTCCTGCTGCTCGTGACGCTCCACCTGTGCCCCATCCGGCAGCTGTTCGCTGGTCGAGAACTTTGCAAATTCGCGCAGATGCCGCGGCAGCTGCCCCAGACTGGCCTCCGCCTGGCCCTCGAGAATGCGCACGGGCGCTGCCTCCGCATCCGACTCGTTGGTGGGGGCGACCCCCGCCACTTGCACCTGGGGCTGCGACTCAGCGCCGCTCTCCCAGTCACTGTCCGCCGGCATGGCCAGCTTGTGGCGTCGCTCCTTGACGGCGCTGAGGAACTCGTCGCTTATGTTGGCCCGCTCTGTGGCGTGGTCCTGCTCGTCCTCGATCCTGGAGATTTTGATGATCTTGTGCTGGCGCCGCTCCTCACGCTCGGCCACCTTGTTCATCCACTCCTCGGCCATCTGCTGGCGGAACACCTCATCCTCGCTGAGCGTCGGCAGCTTGGCCGCCGGCCGGTAGCTCTCCCGTCGCTGTGGCGGCGGCAATACGGGCGCCCGCTGCATCTCCTCCATCAGGCGACGGCGCTCCAGCTGCAGGCGCTCCACCTCCAGGCGCAGCTCCTCCTCCTTGGACAGGATGTACTTCAGCTGCTGCTCGTGCAGCTCGCGCGGCAGCGAGGATCGCCTCTGCTGGCGATCGTAGGCGGGCGGCGGCACCACTGTGGCCGGCGACACTGGCACTGGGGCCGGACTCACGCCCCGCCTGGAGGTGGTGCTGATGTACTTTGGATTGGGATCCCGCTCGATCATGGAGTAGCAGCTGGCGTAGTGCGGCCGCTGCTGCTGCGGCGCCTGGCTGAGCATGGGCGCGTGTGTCCGGCGGCCGCCGTACGCGTTGAAGCTATCGAAGCTGTGTGGGTGGTGGCCACTGCTGCCGCTGGTCAGGTCGTTGGTGCTGGCCGAGAGGCGCGGCGCCCGGATGGGCTGCGACTGCCTGGGATTCGGGTGCTGTCCCTGCCGCTGGTAGCAGATCTCCACCTCGCGGGCAAAGGGTCGCGCAATGTTCTCCGAGTAGCCCAGATCGCTGGCATAGCGTGCCCAATCGTCCTGCGACGCGCTGCTGTTGTTGTTGCTGTAGTTGTAGTGCCCCACAGAGGTGTGTGGCCGGGGGCGTGGCTCGCTCAGGTTGCACATGGATTCGGCGCGTCGCGAGCGCTGCTCCTGCTGCTCCAGTTCGATGGGAATTTCGTGGGTCCTGGGCGCGGGTGTGCTCTCCATATTGCGTGGCACCGAGGACATGCGCTCCTGCCGGGATCGGGACGAGCGCTCGATCTCTCGCTCCAGCTCCTGCATGTGGGCGTGCCGACGCTGCTTCAGCTCCTCCAGCGGATGTGTTCCCTGGCCCTGGCCCTGGCCCCTGGTCATACCGCTGAGATCGAAGAGCGAGGCTGACTTCTCGCGCCGCTCCCTCGTGGACTGGAGCTCGGCGTTCATCTGCTGCGACAGTCGATCGAAGTCCTTGAACACCTTCTCATTGTCCAACCCATTGGCGGGCGGTGGGGGTCGGGGTGCTCCAATGGCATCCACCGCTGCCTTGGCACGCTGCCGAAATTCCTCGTACGTGCCGCCAAAGGTGGAGGCTGTGGCTAAGGCAGAGGCAGAGGCACTGCCGCTCTGCTGCTTGCTCTCCCTCTCATTGCCATTCTCTCTGCTGCTGCTCTCCGGCTCTTGCCGGCTATTTTTGGGCGCGTCATCATCCTCAATGAAAGTGTTTGCCGTAGTCGAACCGTTTAATTTGGTTGCTGACATAATTGGCGGCGGTGGGATGGGCGGCGGCGGTGCATGATCGGTGGAATCTGCCCCCGCCTCCGCCACCGCCTTGGGGAAGCGATTGCTCTGCTTCTCGTGGCTGGAATTCGTAATGTCATAGATCACCTGACCGTTCTCCGTGCGCTTCTTGGACTCGTACGAGCTGGTCTCGATGTTCGAGTACCGCTTGGTGTGCTGCTGCTGCCCCTTTGGCTGGCTGTTGCTTGTCTCGATGTTGGAGAAGCGTTTGCGCTGCTCCTCGAAGATGTCCGCCTGCCGCTGCTGCTGCTGGGCCATGCTGGGGAACATCCTGGCCAGTTCGCTCTCCATGCCGCCGCCCATTGAAGAGGCTGGGAACCTCACGTCCGTGCTGCTGTTCATCTGGTGGCTGGATCTGGTATGGTGGTGGTGCTGCTGCTGCTGCTGCCGCTGCCGCTGCTCTGTGTGCTCGCTGGGATCAGCTGCTCGCCTTGGTTTATTTTCAATCGATGACGATGCTGTTCCGTTCCTCTTCGGATCGCTTGCGTCATCTCTCTTGGCGCTCGCCTTGGCCGCTGTTTCGGCGCTCTTCACTGGCACTGGCGGCGGCTCTTGCGTGGGTGTCAGGCTCTTGCGCAACTCTCGCATCATGGCCGCCGTCTTGAGCATCTCGCTCTGCTGCTGCTGTTGCTGCTGTTGCTCCTGCTCGTTGTCGAGGGCACGCACTTGGGCGCTGCTCAGTTCGTGGTAGCCGCGTCGCTCCACGAACTTCTGATGGTCGTCCAGCAGCTGATCGGGCTTGGTCTCCCCAACCAACGGACGTTGTGCCGGCGACAGGCATACCAGCAGCTTGGGATCCGCCTGCGTCGGCATGCCCAGCCAGGCGGAACTGGAGCGCGACGAGGATGACTTGCTCTCGTGTGTGGTGGACAGCTGCAGCTCCCGTATGTGGGGCATCTCTGGCAGCGGATAGGGCATCGTGGCTGCCGCGTGCGTTTGTGTGTGCGTTCCTGGCTCTGCTATGTCCTGTGCCACGTTGGCTAGTTCCTCGAGCACCTGCTCCCCATACGGCATGGACGCCAAGGTCTCGGTGCAGAGCAGGCGCAGCTTCTTTATGGGATCCACTTCCGATTCTGGTGCTGGTTCCGTTTCGTCATCTGCAACTGAAATCTCTGACTCTTGCTGCTGCTGCGCGGCGGGGGGTGGTGCTGGGATGGTGCAGGTGGAAGCAGGGGCGGAAATAGGAACAGGATATATTGGTGCATGGAGCTGTTGTTGTCTGAGGGGCGGTGTGGGTGGCTGTGGCTGTGTCTGTTGCTGTGTCTGTTGCTGTGTCTGTGGCGGGGGACTGCTGCTGGCAAAGCTGGGCGGGGGTGAAGCCAGATTGATGGCCGTGCATTGGCTGTGCTGGGTGCTGTCCGAGCAGTGCGACTCCGCAGACTCCTGCCGGCTGAGCAGGAGTGGCGCCAGGGCACCGGAGGACACTGTGTTTGGATGGTCGGCTGTGGGATTGGTGGGATTGTAGTACTGTAGGCCAGCGGGTGGCGGCGGAATGGGCGGGGGGCGATGGCGAACGTGGCATATCCTGCTCCGGAGCAGTCGGAGCAGGCACTCCATTACCGATACTGGTCTGCTCGTGCTCCTCCTCGCGTCGCGTCATCTCGATCAACTCGCGCACTTTGTCCATGTTGCGAACGAACTCCTCTCGCGTGGCCGACAGCGCTGACGCTGCACCGATACTGCCGATGCTGCCAGCAGCCTCTGGGGCCGCCTGTTCGCGTATCGAACCGAAAGATACAAATGTATCTTCCGCTCTCGTTGGCTGCTCTGCGGTGGGCGTCGGCGTTGCCGACGAAGACAAAAGCGAAGACAGCGAGCTGCTAGCCGACGCTCCCGCTCCCGCTGCCGCTCCCACGTTGCCAAATTGGTTAACAGGTGTGCTCTCGCGGCTCTCCGTGTCCCTCTCCGTTTCCGTTTCCGTCTCCAGTTCGCCCTCCGTTTCCGTCTCGTTCGACGAGGTGGCCGCATCTGTGGTGGTCGTGCTGCTCATCTCGTCGTCGGGCCGTCGGAACAGTTTGCTGGCATCCGTGTCCAGGTCGACCAGGGCGCGCTCAGCCAGGGCAGCGGCCTGCTCCAGCTCCAGCTCCATCAGATCGGACATGCTGCTGGAGGCCGAGGAGCTGAGGTACACCAATTCCGCGTCCTCGGACTGCGGCGACAGTGTGCCCTGCAGTCGGGTGCAGCTCTCGAGGTCGCTGGGCTCCTCAATCAGTTTCGTCTCCAGCATGAGGGCCACCGGCTCCTCCCTGCGCTTGTGTCGGCGGCTAAAGTCCAGCTGGCTCTTGGGGAACGTTTCGGTCACCTTCGGGACGCGCATCCCCGCCTGATCGCTTCCGGAGGAGCTGCTGCGATGCAGGCCGGCTGTCCCGACGCCTGCCAGATCGCTGTTCTCCTCCAGGATGCTGTCCAGGTAGCGCGGGTTCATCAGCTGCGGCAGAAAGTGCGTCTCCAGGGCGTTCCGTTTCTGGGCGCGCTTCTGCCGCAGCTGCTCCTGTTGCTCGGCGCGGCTGGACGGCTGCAGATCCGGCGGGGCTGCCTCCGTCTCGGAATCCACCTCGCACACAAGCGGCGACTGCAGTACATTGAACTCCCCGGAGCTGCAGTCGCTGGTCAGCTCCAGCTCCTGGATCTGCATGTCGCGTACGAAGTGCGTGAACTGTCCCCCAGCCCCGGACACGTTCTTGGGTGACTCCACCAGATAGCGCGGCGGCGGCGACAGAGTGCCGCCTAGTTCTGGGCTGAGGCTCAGCGAAGCGGGGGGTGCTGGTGACGTGCTGCTTATCTCCTCAATGGTGGGCTTACCTTTACGGGCCCGCCCCTCAGTCTCCTCACTGTCATCCCTTTCCAGGCGTATCTGGTGGATGATCACTTTTGTGCTGCGCTGCAGCGGCGGTCCCCTGAGCTACAGGAACACTTTCATTTCGTTGTGCGACATCCTGAATCTCTGGTACTATGGCTTCTTCTGCTTTCGGATCTTGACTAGTGTTTGGCTGCTGCTGCTCCAGGGGTTGCCCTTCCCCTTTGGCTGGCTCATCTTCTGCCCGCACAATGCGGTGCACTATGACCTTGGCTTGGCGGGGACTTCCCGGAGGCTTCAACGGCGGCACCTCCTGCTGCTCCGCCTCCTTTTTGTGCTCGTTCGTCTCATTGCTCGATCGCTTGCCGGATTTCTCCGCCTGTTGCTTGGAGTTTTTGGCCCCCATCTCTGTTTGGTTGCTGCTCGTTGGAGGTTCTCTTGCTTCCCTCGTCTCGTCTTTCGCTGCGGTGATTGTGGATTCCTCTTCTTCTTCTTCTGCTGCTGGTGCTGGTGCTGGTGCTGATGCTGCTTTTGGTGGCTCTTCCCCCGCCCCTAGCTGGGGATCCACAGCAACATTGTTGCTGTTGCTGTCTGCTGCTGGTGCTGGTGGTGACCGTATCCGATCCATTTGAAACGCTGCCAGAATTTCCATTATCCGCTATGGAAGAAGAAGATGCCTCTGGCACTGCCTCTACCTCTGGCTGGGTATCCTGCTGCTCCTCTTCCCGCTGTTCCTGCTGTTGCTGGTTTTGATTTTGGTTTCGATTGCGTTTGTTGCGATTGCGATTACGATTGCGATTATTTTTGGGCATCGTCTACGTCACGTCTCACGGCTCCCGATCACTCGACTAATAATGCAGTTGGATTTTCTTTATAAAGTGCAAATCTCACTATGTGTATGTGTGTGTCTGTGTGTACTGTGTGTGTATGTTTTTCTCAATCAGCGAAATCTACAACTAAATTGTTGTTGCTCCTAATTCCTATTTCCTATTCGTTGTTGTCGTTGTCGCTGTCGCTGTCGTTTTGTTTCTTTCTTCTAGTATTTGTCTCTGTCTCCGATTCCTGCCTTTGCCTCTGCCTCTGCCTTGGTGTGTCACTCGTCGCCAGATACCCAACTAGAACTGAAACCGCTCGGAGCGGATCCGCCGGCAACAAGCCCACGACACGACCGACAGCCGGCAAAACATGGGAAAGTGAAAAACGAGGAAAAATAATATTATAAAAAAACAAAAAAAAAACGTCGTCAGCGTCGAAGTCTCGACGCCAGCGTCAACGCCCGCCCAGTGCCAGTGCCAGTGCCTGGCACGCGTCCGGCCTGCCCCCTTGCTGCACAATAAATTTTCGCGTATATATCGTTATATTCTTCGGTTTACGATCCGATCTGTGTCATTTGATTGCTGCTTGTTTTCCGAATGTTTTTGGCCAAATTAAATTGCGTTTCAACTCTCAACTTTCGCTCTTTCGGCGCTGATACTCGGAGATTTTCGATTCCCGATTCGGCGCAAAATCTTTTTCAATAGTAAATATTTATCCCGGGGGTGTTGGTGGCCCGCGTTTCCCGTTCCTCGTGGCGCTGGCGACTGACGGACAAGGAATGGCCCAACGGTCTGTTTGCTGCTTGGCAGCCGGGAGCCAGTTCCCCATTCACACACACACACACATACACACGCGCATTCACACCAATGTCTAATTGGTTGCACAGAGGCACGTATTTGAAAATATACACAAAAAATCAGAAGCAGCAAAAACAAATCGTGAATTCATAAAGATTTCAAGATACAAAAAGAGAAAAGGAGAGAGAGAGAGAGAGAAGAGCGCTGTTGAGTGGGAGTGTGTTGGGCTTAAGGTTGGGGTTGTGGGGGAGTGAGTAAACCAGTGCAAAGAGGGAAGGGTAAAGAGTGCAGTGCAGGGTATTCCAAAGGCAACGCACGACTCTCAGCGAAACAACAAAATCTCCTCTGGGTCAATGCAATTTCCAAAAACCAAATAAATACGAAAATCAGAGATAGAAATCATTTCATTTCGAGAAAATATTTTTGACACATCCATAAATATTGAAAACTGTTTTTGGAACAAACTTATAATTTGTTTGAATTTAAGCTGCATAAATTCTTTGTTAAATGTCTGAAAATATCTAGCGACATTTTTGTGTTCGAAATGGCTTTGAGTTTCACCCCAAAGACATTTTTCAAATTTTCTATCCGAATGCTGGCATGAATTTCTGTGTATACAAGTATTTTACTTTAGAAGAATCGATAGTCCAAGGAACTTTTTAATAAAAAAAATATAAACTCTTCATCTACTTTGCATTCGTACGAGTCTCTGGTTAAACTCTCAGTGCAATATGCCCAAATGAATCATATGCAGGGCATCGTCGGAGAAGAGAACTCAATACGGAAATAGTTTGCCACCGTTCGAGTTTGTCTATATGTACGTACGTATCTGTGTATCTGACGAGCCAGTGCTCTGCTGGCTGCTTTCTGTATCTATATGTATACAACTTATGGCATTTTCAAGATATTTTTCGTGCGTAATTTCATTTGATTTTGATTTTTGTGGTCACAAGTCTCTGCTGCTGCTGCTGCTGCTGCTGCGCCGCTCCTGCTGTGTACTCTTGAATAATTGAAGCACATATATTCATACTCGTACATATGTATATGCGCGCGTATATATATAGCACTTGGGTGTATCATCCTAGTGGGCCATGCGGTTAGTAGTATTCCGCTTTTATTTTTAAAGGGACTTAATGGACCTCAATCTCTCTTGTTTGTCTGTCTGGCCGGCAGCCCCTCCATCATCAACAACATCATCATCATCAGCAACTTCCTCCTATCCGATCTGATCTAAAGTGAAGTAAAGTGAAGTGAAGTCTGTGGCCCTGTCAGGTGCCAGACAGCCCCAGACACGTGATGTGCCTTTGGTGGGGCAAAGCAAAGGACTGGCCTGCATTGGATTATGCAATCCCTAGCTGCTGCACAGTGGTGACAAGGTGCAAAATGTGGGGCCCCACAATTATGCACCATTCAAACGGCGACTTCCCCTCTGACCAAACAAAACTATTCGGAACACACGCCATTCTCACTGTTTCGTAAACACAAATAAATACGAGTCTATGTAGAAACAATTGGTTTGGTTTCCGTTTGGCAATACTCTTCTGGGCGTATCGTTTACGCCATTCTGAGGTGCTTGAATTATGTACGTACGCAATCTATACAAATATTGTATTTGTTAGTTTATAAAATTGATTGCTTCTTCACAGTTTCGAATGCCGTAGAACAGCGCACATTTGTGTTATCATTCCTCGACCCAATCGCTGATAAATTTTGCATTTCTGATAAAGCAAGTGGAATGGAACACTCGCGAAAAAGATTTTTGCTGTTAGGGAGTTAGGAGAAGGTACCCCACGGAATTTTCTATGGAAAACTGATTATCAAGCTAATGAAGGGGAAGCCCTGAATGCCATAATGAACCCTTTTATTTGATGATGAAAAGGAAGTTCAGAATAAGATAGAAAACGAGATTCAAAAGAATCTTACATAGAATAGTCAATTCTATGGAAGAAAAAGGGTATTCGAGTCTCTAGTTGGCGGCTTATTTCATTTGTTATTATTTTTGCATGGAATATTCTCTCTGGCTGTCTTTGCTTCTCTCTTTCCCACTCTCTTTCTTTGGTTTTTGCTGTTGCTGCTTCTGGTGCTTTTGCTGCTAATTAGCATAGATTTTTGAATCTCTTTGTTGTTTCTGTTATTTATTTGGACAGCGTTAAGCATTCCGTTCGTTCTTCGTTGTTCTCCCATAAAGAGCAAAGCACATGTTTGGCTCTATATGTCTCTCTTTTTTGGCCAGACTCAGACTGTTTTGTGTTCTTATTGTTTGTTTGTCTTTTACACAGTCATGAACACAGCATATTAAATAGAAGGTAAGGCAGGGGATATCCTTGTAGCTCCCAGTCTCAGCGAATCTCTCTCTTTGTGCCACACGTACCACAAATATGTCTTCTATATTTGCCAGTACCCTTCCACAGGACTGCCTTACCCTCTTAGTTAATATACCTTGGCGATGGGGGGTAAGCAAAGCCACAAAAACAGAGTCACTCACCCACACACACAAACACATGCACACAGAGACAACAACAAAAACAAACAACAATGTGTTTAGTGAATTAATTTATGAAGCGCGCTCGATGTATTTGCCACCCGCACCCACACCCACACCAACAGAAGCACCATCAATCTCTGACGTCACGTTCAGCATGCAAACAACAAACACACACATGTATGTACACATCTCTTCATATGCACATATGTGTGTAAGTGTGTATGTATGTTCAGGGGGTCAACGGAGTCTTACAATTTAATTCCCAATTAATTGCAAATTGTCGGCATCGGCTGTTGCCTCAAAGGAGAAGCGCACTTTTATCCGCCGCGTACGTGAGCCAACTGAGGCTACAGCCCCACCATCCAAGGGGCTGGCGGCGCACTCTCGTTGCCCCGCACAGTGGGACCGGCTGGCTAGTGTAGTGGGGTAATGCGGCCATAATAAATGTGATTTTGTCATATCACACTCGTTCTCGTTCTCGTATGCATGCCCCGCGGCCAACGCTGTCTTATCTGAGTATAATGAATTTGTCGATTTCTAAAATCGAATAATGATCTCAGCCCCTGCCGGTTACGCGGCTTCTCGGCTTCTCGGCTTCTCGGCCTCGCATCTAAGTGCCAAAGTTTGCGCGTAATTGCCAGCGATTTGTGAAAACCAAACCACACACGAGTATTAGTAGGCTCCCCCTTCTCCTGCCTTTGCTCTTATATGGTATAAACAAACACATTACACTCTCGGCCCTATTGCGTCAGTGTCCGTCGTCGACTACGTCTTCGTATCCGCAGTGTTCTTCTTTTCTCTTCGCTCCTTCTCTTCTGTCTTTACAGTTAAAGTTGAAGGCAACACACAGATACACACAGACACACGCGTTACAATGGGAAACAAAAAGAATAAAACAAAACACACACACACAGAACTATTTATAAACGGCAAAATCAATCGGCGGCGGGCCCCAAACCACAACTGGGGAAACACTACAGCGGTACTCGAGCTTGTGTGTGTGAGTGTGTAGTGCAGTGTAGTTCTCAATGGCTCCGCTCCACTCCGCAGCGATCGACACAACGTCAAAGTCGAAGTTCTAATGTCAAACTGAAGCTTTGAAAGCTCCGACACCTGGAAGCGGCTCGTTCCGCCAGAGCCGTTAACTTTTGCTGATTGCCATTCCCGTGCTACACCTCACCTCACCGCTACCTCTGCCCCTCCCCCATCGTCGCTGGAACCCCATCTGGGAGCGGGTTCCGACGACTGCCGCCTGCCGGCAACGGCACCCAGCTGATTTGGCTGAGCTCTTGGTATTGCGAATAGAAATGTTTTGGCATTCGGCCAATCTATTGACAGCTGGAAGCAGCTTTCGATTTCTGGAACACTTGACAGGCGGCGTCCATAGGGCAGGATAGGGCATGGGGTGGGGTGGTGTGAGGTGAGGACAAGATTATAATGTAATTATGAGCGTAATATGCCCGTCTATGCTATGAGGCCACCGCTGGGGGTTCCATGAACTTCGAGCTGCCCTAACTAGCTGCGACCTTGAGGGAAAGAATTTATTTATTTTTTTTTTAAGAATTAATTCCCTCCGTTTGGGTAGGATTTGCCAATGTCGGAAAATATCAGGAATATAATTTAAATATTAAATTTCATCTCTTGGTAAACTATCAACAAAAATCTGTACAAATTAAAATCAGAAAACTACCACTGTGTTGTCTAGAACACCGATATTAATCCCTGTTCGAACTGTGTTAACTTATCGAGCAACAGGGCAGACAAAGTGCGATAAGCAGCGAAATTCTGCAAGCCGAAAATTCTTATCAATGTTTATTCAAAACTTTGTGCTATGATTTATTTGCTAGCCCCAAACAGAACAACAAATGATTATATAACACGAATGGAACCAAGATCATTTCTTTGGTGAATAACAAATTCACGCTAATTGCATTGTCAAAATTTGCTTTCGCGTTTTTTTTTTTTGCATTTTGTTTGTTTTTTGTTGTTTTTTTTTTTGGGACACACTGAATCACAATTCAATACTAAAATTCTGTTTTGTTTCGCTTGTGCTCTCAAAAACATTGCCAAAAGGCCATCGAGACAATAAAAACTGCGCGGCAGCTGCGTCAGCTGAGCGGCGGGCAAAACAACTTTATAGATACCAAACCAGACACCATACAGAGACAAAAAAAAATAAATATTATAATGATATAATGGCCAAGCCAAAATGGTCAACGAATTTGGTTAAATATTCGGTTTGGGTCTGTGTGGGCGCTACCATAAAAGAAGATTCTCAGCGAAGTCAAGAAAATTGCCCAAGAAAATATTCAACTAAATTGTGCATTAAACCAAAGGAGGTCTGAATTCTTTTTGAATCAGCAATGTTTGTTGTTAGGACATGGCTGAAGGTCAATTCCCCTTTTCAAACTGCGCCCAAAAGTATGCAAAATAAAGACTCTTAGATCAGAAACAGGAGAAATTCGATCGATTTGAACAGATTTCAGTAAAAACTCCAGAATGGTATAAACATTTGACAACCCGTTATCATCCTATCATTCATTTCATTCTTCATGGCTAATCAATGTGGCAAAGTCGTTAAAAGTGACACCCGCGACAATCAAATTGGATACAGCGAAAGAGAAACCACCCGCTGCCCCCCACTCCATCGGGCAACCAGAAACCGCAACAATGTCTGTCAACTCAAAAATCACTGCCTGGGACTTACCCAAAGGGCTGTAACGTCCGGGGCAAGCCAATGACCGCACACTGCACTTGATTGAGTCACCACAGGAGAACGATGATGATGATTTCCCTAAATGTTGTACAATTTAAACATGAGCTGTACGAGTGTGCTCTTGAAAGGGGGGCTGGGCATTCTTGAGACAAGGAACAGCTGCACGATAAAAAATTTAAGTGGAAATATTCACTCGCTTTTCGGTTCACTATGTCAGGGGCAAAGTTTCCTGTCCCAATAATCGATTTTGGTAAGCAAAGAAATTGGAAAGCTGAAAGCTATCTTCGGGCATAATCAAACACCCAAAATGCGTCTCTCGACCGTCGATTTTCCAATTTGAAAGAAGTTGGACTTTACTGTATCAGAAATCGAATAATTCTGGATATCCTTTTATGGATCTAGGTCTAGTACAAGGGTATTCCCTGTCTGACTTCATTTCGTTCAGCGTCTTTTATAGCTCCCCAAAGTCGTAGCGAACCTCCCTTACTGTACGCCTGCTCTCTCTCTCTCTGTCTCTGCCCCTAATGTTTATCGCTTTTAACAATTGACAATCATTTTTTGTTGGTGTGTAGTATTTACCAACACGAAGGTAAGAACACACGCTCGAATAGAAACAGCCAAAGAGAGAAACCATTTATTTGAAATTTTTGCCAGCTGAGGCTTATCAAACTTGTGTGTCGCGGCTGTCGGGGAGAGGTAAACAAAAGCGGAATAATAAATAATAATAGTACATAGAAACGGTTCGCTTCGGCTTTCTTTCTGCTCAAAATTCCAAGCGCAAGAAGAATGTCAAATGGGGAATTATAATTAAACATTAATCATCGGGTGAGCTGGGTGTGCCGCGGAATGCTTCCTCGCTGGCCCCCACCGCACACCACTCAAAGGAAATTCAATTTATAAAATATAATTTTACAATTAAATCAGAACTATATTCTGGAACACTTTCCGAGCTTCATTTGCATGCAAGGCACACACACACACTCAAACAAACACAAACGCACACACACACTAACATCCGGTCATTAGAGACTTAATTGAACTATAACCAAATGCTGTGGCTTGCCGCAGAGTAAAAGGGTTGCACTGTATAATTTAAAACAAATTAAAACCACATATGCACACAGCGACTGTCTATCCAGATCCATATATTGTAAACATAATACGTATGGATGTATTTTGTATATATAGCGAACATTTTGCGCCGTTTTTGGGGCATCATTATCGCCACACACAAATACAATAATTAACCCGATTTCGGTCTGCACTCGCCTATCAGCTGAATTTAAAATAGAAATCCAATATTCGAGCGTATAAGCATTTCCCAATGGGCGTTTATCGGCTAAGCAGAAATTGATTTAAAATTTAAATACTTAATGAAGCCGCCGCAAGGAGGCACGTAGAACCAACCGATGAAGGTGGTTCTCCACAGAACAGTGAAGCTTCCACTTACGGAAGATATTTGGCCCCAAATTTGGATGTTTAAAAAGCAAAGATTTCCGCGTTCGAGGGTTTCACTGTACAACAACTGTCTCTGGCGTGTCTTGTACTAAATCCCCTCTTAACACAGTGGCACGGAAAAAGGGCGCCAAGCCAAAAAGTGTTTGCCAGAGCCCCAAACACTCAATCTCTGAACACTTCGAATGAGGGGCCCAATTACGAGTATAATACTACTCGTACACGTACTCGTACA